AGTTGAGCGTCAAATTTCTACATAATATTGATGCTCTCTGAGTCATTTTCGAGTGCAAAATATGGAGCCATATCAATTTTAGTTACGCCATCTAGGGGAAAATGTTAGTTTAATTTGTGCTGTTTCAACAATGGGAATGCTTGCTTATGAAACAAAAACTGGAGGCTGGAATGCAGATTCATTTTGTACTTTCATAACTACAATGATGGCATCAGCGATTAGGAATGCAAGTGTGGAAGCGCCGGTGCTTGTTATGCAAACACGGAGAAAAGCCTCGAAATACGGATGAGGTAATCAGGAAACTTAAAAATATTATGGATACTACAGAGTTTAATATAGTTCCATTTAACAACCATACGCATAGTTATATAAATATAAATTATAAGCGCTGGCTCGGCAACAATTTCTTAAATAAATAACAATGAAAACAACCTTATTTATATTTTAAATATATCTGTATAAAAATTTAAAAGCGTATTTATTGTTTATATTAAATTATATTAGAGATTTTATGGGTGGTTGACGCATATATAAACGCGCATATAAGAATGAATAAATACGCATATAAGAATGAATAAATGCGCATATAAAAATGAATAAATGCGCATATAAGAATGAATAAAGGCGCATATAAAAATGAATAAATGCGCATATAAGAATGAATAAAGGTGCTTATTAAAATGAATAAATGCGCATATAAGAATTAATAAAGGCGCATATAAAAATGAATAAATGCGCATATAAGAATGAATAAAGGCGCATATAAAAATGAATAAATGCGCATATAAGAATGAATAACCCTGTAATACTGTTGTTATTACACTGAATGGCTTGGCTCAAATACGACAAACCATTCTGGCTCTAAAACTTATAACTTCTGTGTTTCTCCATCTTATACTCAGATGGTTAACTTTGTAACTCGTTTTACAGAAAACCTTAATCACATACCTTTTTCTCTTTGATTTATATTAAGATTTTGACCCTAATATTTCCTCAGATTCTCGATGATTTAGATAATGTTACGATATCAATCAACATTTATCTCATATTTCTTCTACATTACCCTATTATCATACTTGTTACTACTTAAGAATGATTAGTATTCTTTTTGTGATTTTCTTTGTAATGGTTTTTTGGATGATACACTTCTTGCAATCAGTCAATCATCTAAAACTTCTTGCTATCAGTCAATATGTGTTCTTACTATTATTAACAAATTCTTCAAATCTTGATTTAAGAAATAAAAAATTTAATTAACTTCTAATATCTCCGACAATCAATTATAATAATTTGCTCTCTGAAAATCGAATTTTGATCCTCTCGAAATACTGATTTCTGATAAAAGTTTTTTTGTTAATAAAAGTTTTTCTTGTGATAAAAGTTTTTCTTCTGATAAAATTTTTTCTTCTAATAAAAGTTTTTTTTCTGATAAAAATTTTTCTTCTGAGAAAAGTTTTTAAGTACAAGTCAACAGCAACGACACTCTTTTTCGTAACATTTGTACTATGCTGTTCTTTCAACGGTCATCTAGACAGGGCCGTTCTGAAGAGAGGGGGGGGGATGTTGGGGTGTCCCACCCCTAAAACTTTCATATAAGCATTTGAGTTGGCGTATCAGAGTTGGTACATTTGAGTTGACTTATTGGCACAGGTTTTGAACTATAGTTGGCAACTTACAAATACTGAGGACCTTTTTTTTTTTAGGTGTCTCTAGTTAACAAAAAAATACATACATGAGGGCCACGGAAGACCTCTTCGTTAATTGGTTTGTTTACAAGGTTAAAAAACCATGTTGGTTAGCCAACATATAAAAATGTTTGATTTATTTAGATTTATTGTGAAACAGTTAATAAAATATTTTTCAATTAGTGACAAAGAATTTTGTCTAATAAGATAAAAGTGCTTTTTTTCTTTAGATATTAAGCATCAGAAACCACAAAAAAGTGTTATTTTACTGTTCTTTTGGTTAATACTTCCAATAAACTTAACCAAAATTTTACGCATCATGTCAATTACTTTCAAATCACTTTTTTTTCGCACTTAAGTAAATCAAGTTATTTAGAAGTTTGCGCTATTTTCTATACATTTTTTTTTCATTCAAAATAAGAAAAAAAAAAAAAAGCCATTATTATCTCGTTATATATCTATATCTATATCTATATCTATATCTATATCTATATATATATATGTATGTATATATATATATATATATATATATATATATATATATATATATATATATATATATATATATATATATATATATATATATACATATATATATATATATATATATATATATATATATATATATATATATATATATATATATACATATATATATATATATATATATATATATATATATATATATATATATATATATATATATATATATATATATATATATATATATATATATATATATATATATATATATACATATATATATATATAACAGGCGCGATTAAGGGGGCGGGGGTAGGTAATGTGGGTGCATTAACCCCCAGATTTTCAATTTTTTTAATTTCTTTTTATACTCGAACGAGTGCGTTGTGGTGGTTTCAATGAAAACGTCTTAAAACTTAATCAAATTGGCTGCCATTTTGCACATGAGCTAAGTTCCGGTATTTGTTTGTTGAATCGCGTTGTTTTAAAATCAAGAATACGATCTTTTATGGTTGATGATTGCTTAAATGGTCTTATCCTTATGTCCATTCACCCAGAAGTTAATATTGACCCAGACATGGTTATCAATGATTTTGTCTTGAGCACACGTAAATTGGATTTTGTGTTATAGTATAGTGCCCTGTGTTTATGAACCTGCAGTCAACTGATGTTTAAAACCTTGTTTATAAACTAAATATAGTCTACTGTGTTAATGAATTTGTAGACTGTGCTCAACTGGTGTTAATTAACTTTCAACTGGTGTTAATGAACTTGTAAACTGCTGTTTATTAATTTGTAATCAATATTAATAAACCTATTTTATAATAATTTCAAATGCCTGCCTCACAGAAATTTTTTTTGGGGGATACCCCATCCCAAACCCTCCCCTCAGTAAACCTCCAAGCATTACCTCCCATCACTAAATCCTGGATCTGCCGCCGCTGCTGATAGATATGTATATATATATATATATATATATATATATATATATATATATATATATATATATATATCATATATATATATATATATATATATATATATATATATATATATATATATATATATATATATATATATATATATATATATATATATACTATATATATATATATATATATATATATATATATATATATATATATATATATATATATATATATATATATATATATATATATATATATATATATATATATATATATATATATATATATATATATATATATATATATATATATATAAATATTAGGGGTGAGAACTTTTTTCACTCCACCAATAGTTATAGGACGGTCTTATAACTATCGGTGAAGTAATTACCTAAAACTCAAAACAAACTATATAAACGCAAAAAACCCTCTGCGCAAATCCATTTTAAAGTATCTTCAAAAGTTTGAAAATTTGCTTATAATAACTCATTGTTTATTAAACAATATATAACAATGTTTAACTATTATATATTGTATATATTTAAGTATGATATAAAAATTAATTAATAATTAATAATATCAGAATTAATTAATAAGAAATAATTTAATTGGGCAAATTGATCACCCTTCCAATATTTTAAAACGAAGAAATCGTACATATGGAAATTTGATTGAGAAGTCACTGATGGATTTTTCAAAATGGCAGGAATAATTATACGGAGCTGGGTTTGTTATTAAAAGTAAAAAATATGGCAGGAATGATTATACGGAGCTGGGCCAGTTATTAAAAGTAAAAAATATGACAGGAATGATTATACGGAGCTGGGCCAGTTATTCAAAGTAAAAAGTATGGCAGGAATGATTATACGGAGCTGGGCCAGTTATTCAAAGTAAAAAATATGGCAGGAATGATTATACGGAGCTGGACTTGTTATGTAAAGGATACAAGTCTTATCGAGAAACAATGAATTTACCCTCAATTCATTTTTCTAAACCAGGACTTATTTCAAATGCACAATAAAATTCATTGTTGGCTACTAACTAAGTTAATAGCCAACAAATTTTTTTTGTGCATAGTCGGCAAAACGCCTATTTTTCAACCCCATCCCCTGCCTTCCTTTAAAATCTTTTGGATACTAAATTTATTATCGGGTTCAAAACGTTTCTAAAATTAAAAAAAGCTAGAACAATATTTTATCATAAAGCTAGCTATGTCAATTTTATATTTAAATAAAGGATGTTTTTAAAGCCCAATAGAACTTAAAATTATAAAATTTAACACAAATTAATTTTTGGTGAAAATTTCTATTTTGTTTTTTTAAGTATACTCCGGAAAATCAAAAATGACGCAGGAGCTCGCCTTACAGTCAATGGAATTCGTTACCATAATCAATGATTTTTTGTTTGAAAATATGGATGGTATTGGTTTGGAAAAGATGTTATTTCATCAGGATGGCGCAACGTGCTATACGGCAACCGCAACCATCAAGGTATTAAAATTAACATTCGGTAATAAGTTAGTTTCGAGAAGTGGATATTTAAATTGGTTGTAAGGTTTGACACCTCTGGTTTATGTTGATAAACCTGCAACAATGGACTCTTTGGAAGCCAGAGTTGTTTGTGTTATTTGTGACACACGGCCAGCAGTGTTCGAAAAAGTAGCCTAAAATTAGACGTCGAGAATGTTCTTTGTCAGGAACAGCCGCCGTGCCCATATGCCCGAAATCATTTTCAAATTTTAATGCTATGTATTGGTCTTTCGAAAAAAATGTTTGGTTAAATTAAGTTTTTTGTGCAATTTTTTACATCAAGTTCTGTCGGCCTTAAAAAGCACCCTTTAAATGTAAATTAATAAAAAATACGCGACTTGTTTTAAATCGAGGTTTAAATCCAAACGAGGTTTTCTGAACAAGATTTATTAATTATTTTTAAAGGTTGATTTACGGAGAATGAAATCAAGGCAAGTATGGCTGCCGAAGCCAGGTACACAATGGTTCTTAGCTTTTTAGAAATAATAATGTTTTGTATAGAGTTAATACATAATCTTGATATATGCATTTGAATCAGTTCTTGTTATTTTTATTTAAAAATAATTTCTACATATCAAACAGACGTTTTATTTAGCTTGTAATTTTTTTGTAAAAATATGTTTATAAAATTATTTTTTTACTTTTATATCATTTAGACATTATGAAAAAAAGAAGATGACTTATTCCAGTCGAAAAGTATGAAAAGTATTTATTTAAAAGTTTTTGTAATAATAAATATGACGATTTTTATTATTTATTATATTTGTAGATTTTATTTTCAATTTATTGCAATCGTGAACGTTTCTGCTCACTTTTTTTTTATCGAAGTTTGTATGCTATATATAAAAAAAAGATTGTTAAAAGATATGTATTTATAATAATAATAATAATAATAATAATAATAATAATAATAATAATAATAATAATAATAATAATAATAATAATTACAATTATATTTGCAGTTACAATAATTATTATAATGATAATAACAATAATGGTAATGATAATATTAATAATAATAAAATGATAATAGTCTGTATAAATTCAGCATCCAGTTGAGCTTTTGAAATAATTTTTGTATTCTTTTTGTCTTGAATCGAATTATAACTTAAAAATGTTAATTTTTATTAAAACTTATATCATTACTACTACTAATAATAATTTAGAAGATATTTTATCAATATGTCAACACATATGATATTCATAAATGTTATATAAGATAATATTTAGAATTATTATATTATAAATATGATTTTGTCTCTATGAGAAAGATAAAGGTGAAATGATTTAATCACTTTTTTATATAATAAGTTAAGCTTAGCTTTGAACATCAGTAAATTATTTTTAAATATATGCATAATTTTGTTTATAAATTATAATAAATATTTTAGGGCATTTAGTTCAATTTTATCAAATATTTGCAATTTAACAAGATTTTTTCAATATCTGTTTTATGAAAAATTAGCCATAATTTTTATTTGCATTTATAATATCTTCAATATGATATGTACATACATACATACATATATGCATAGATACATACATACATACACATATGGGCGCTCACAAAAAAGATCATAAATGAATAAAAACAGTTAGATTTAAAGATCTAAGGTATTAAGCACAAAGAAGTTTTTTTCAAGTAAATAAACAATGTTATGCTTTACAAAGATAGGCGGATAAATCTATATTATTCTTTCATGATGTTTAAACTATTGTTAATAACAATAAGATTATTATTAACTATTGTTAATAACAATGATATTATTAATAGCAATGAGAGCAATGTTAATATTAATATATCGTTAGTAACAAATAATCATGATAATATTTATTATAATGATATTTATTGTTATCGTTATACAAAATATTCAGAATAACAGAGAAGTTCTTCATCTAATATATTTTCTTCATGAAGTGTTTGAAAATTATAATTTTAAAATTTCAAGTGAAATTCTGAAAATGTATACAAGTACAAATGCTGTCTTAAATCGAAACACTTTTTGATTTTTACGAATTTTAGATTTGCTGTTTTTTTAGAGACTAACTATAAATTTCAACTTTAAAAACAAAATATAGTTTTTAATAAATATCTAAATGTATACATAGTAAACTCCTGATAACTCAAACCTCCAAGGAATAAAGAAAATAGTTTGACTTATTGAGTATTCAAGTTTAGTGATTTTTATGCAGGTTAACCAATTATTTAAAAATATTCTAATTTACTGGAAGTTTGAAATATCTAAAATTAAAGTTATCTGGAGTTTACTGTATGTTTGTGTGTGTGTGTGTTTGTATATATATATATATATATATATATGTATATATATATATATATATATATACATATATATATATATATGTATATATGTATATATATATATATATATATATATATATATATATATATATATATATATATATATATATATATATATATATATATAACAATAATAAATTTAAAATCTAACTGTATCTCAAATTAAATTCCTTAATTTATAAATTAACTAAAATAGATTTTTAAAGCATTTTACAATCATTTGTATGTTATTTTCACAGATTGAAGAAAAGTATAAACAGCAAAATAGAAGTTGTGATACTTCGCCTTATCGTCATAAATCACGTTCCAGTAGTCATTTTTCACCAAGTAGAAGAAAGAGACCGTATTCACCAAAATCTTCCAAACAAAGTTCTTTGTATGAAGGTTCGAAAAAGAAAGGTTGAATACTTTTTGCTTTGTATATTATATTTTTACAACTAGCGTATTTATTTGAGTTTTGTATTTGAATGTATAAATTTGTATATATACCAAAAAGATAAAATGGCTGATTGCCTAAATAAAAAATCCCACCTTTTTACCAGATTACCAAATTTACCAGACACACTTGCTCTTTGTGAGACAAATTTAAACTTGTCTATATTATTTTTTATTCTCAGAGGGGTTAGCTCTAGTAACACGGCGGGAGTATATGAGTACAAGGGGGAAGAAAAGCTCTCCTTAAACAAACATGGTGAGCCATGCGAGCAGCTCCTCTAAGCTTTATATGTGAGTTTTCGGTTTTTGCATGAGCTATCTGTTTATTTATAAAAAAATTGCTGGTTATATAAATAACTTGGTTTTATACTTGTTACAAGCATAGGTTTGTTAATGTTACAAGAATATATACATTACAAGCGTCATTTATTGCGCCGTGAAAATATTATTTAGACAACCCTCGGAACAAGGATCGGCATTTGTAATGTTGACCTAACTGCCGACCTAAAAGTGTCTGAGATTGGCAATAAATTGCCGACCTCGTTTCTATGTTTTATGGTTTACCTTTGTATCAAATAATTTTTACTAACCTGATGCTGACCTCTAAAAGACTGAGGTCGGTAAATTATTGCCGACCTTTTTTTCCTAATTCTGAGGGTTAATTGTTTTCACACTAGTTATCTATTTATTTAATAACATGACTTGTTTGACAAATAGCTATAATAGTTTTTACTGCTTATAAAAAATGTTTTTCTTATTGTAATAAAAAGCAGGTATTTTAAGAATTATTACAACAATTAGAAATTCCACAATAAAAGTAAATAATATATAAATAATAAAATGTAAAATATATAACTCATTACATAAAATAAAAATTATTATGCAATAATTTTGAGTGTAATAATTTTATTTTTTATCAGATAAACATTTTAATATTTTATCAATACAGTTTAAATTTTTTAATTTTATTTTAAATTTAAACTTTATATTTATCAAATAGTCTAATCTAAAACATTTGGATTTAAATTGGTGCTCTTTAATTTTTTTTTTTTGCAACAACCATGCCTTTTAAAAAGCATTGCAGTTTATTATGCAATTAATAAAAAAAAAAAAATAACGTGTTTTGCATTTTAGTTACAATTATAATTACATTTTTCGAGAGAAAAATTATACTTTTGTAAAAGCCATAAATTGCCCCCATAAACTATTTTAAAGGTTTTAAAAAAACTTAAAGGGAAGAAAGCCACCATTAAATAGAGCTGTATTGCAAAAATATCTTTTTGAGAGAGAAAGCAATCTTAGAAAAGAATTGACTGGTTGGAAATCATCTAATTAGCAAAATCATTGAAAACTCTGGTTACCTGCTTATATTCCAACAAAGTTTAACAGGAAGGACTGTGTTGATCTGATTGTCAGTTTGATGGCTGATTAAGAGATACTAAAAAAAAATTTTAAAAAATAGTTGAAAGAAAGGAGAAAATAGAAGAAAGGTGATGGATCTGATATTATTTAAAATTGATAGCTACCTGAAGTCTTTAGCATTGCAAAAAAGTTTCAATGCAATCTTTCTTGTGTCAACAATTTTGCAGAGCAAGTTACAAAGCATCATTAAGTTACAAACATCAAAGACATGCTTTAATCCAACAACCTGTTCAAGCTGTGGAAAAACCATTAAAAAAGCTTAAAGAAATATCTTACTCAAAAAAATCAAATAAGTTTCTAACAACAACAACAGCAACAACAAAATATATGTTTTTTTATCTATTTATTTAACCAAAAAATTACAAATTTATTAATAATTTTATAAAATTATGTTTAGTGTCACTTGTATAGTTAAAAACTAATAATTTGGTGTCATTTGTATATATATATATATATATATATATATATATATATATATATATATGTATATATGTTTATATATATATGTATATATGTGTGTGTGTGTGTATATATAATATATATATATATATATATATATATATATATATATATATATATATATATATATATATATGACTACAAAAAAAAATAATCTTTAAACGCAAAAAAACTTAAAGCTAAATAAATTACGCTTAGAACAGATATTTTCGAAACATCGCTCTTTTATAATTTTTTTCATAAAATTAAGCGATGTTTTTTCATATAAAGTAACATCTTATCATTGTTTAAAAAGGAAACAAATATTCTTTATTTAACAAAGCTTGCAAGTTTTAGTTTTATTTAAGCTAAAATATTTTATAAATAAAAAAAGTTAATTTTTTTAATACCTATTTTATGTTTTGCGTAGTTTAAAAAGTTTAACACATTTGAAGCAATTTTTCTTAGTAAGATAAACAAATAAAATAATTAAATCATTGAATTACTATAGAAATTAAATTAACAAGATAGAAATCAACTAAAAAGGTTAAAAATACTTTATGACGAGGAAGCGAAACTGCTTCACAATATCGCTGATGTTTAGTGAGTGGGCTTTTTAGTTTTGATTAGTATTTAAAGCAGAAAAAAGTATAACGAGTTTTAAGAATGGCAACTTTAGCGAAAATAATTAGAGTTAGTAAACCATTATCTAGAAACTTTTCTTTATATCTAGTTATTTGCTATATATATAAAACAAATTTAGAACTAATAAAAGTTATTTATTATAGCAGGGTAATTTTGTTTTCTCTAGCAACGTTCATAGCAACGGCTAGTTAAGTTTAGAAATAAAAAAAAATTAAAAACAAAGAAAATATCTTAAAGCAACTAAGAAAGGGTTTGATAATAAATACAATGATTAAGAGGGACAGTATGTAAAAAAAGGGGGGTTTTAACCTGTTTTCATAAGTTGGTATATTCAATATTTAAAATTTTATATGCATTTTCTCTGTTTTATTCTTCTAATTTTCTGGCAAAGATTGCAGGAGCTGTAATAGTCCAATTGACTTCAAATTTTTTCAAGAGATTGATTATTATAAGCTTTATGTCCTGAGATAAAATAAATTTAGAATATAAATTTAAAAAAAAACAAAATTTTGGTTCTTAATATCAGAAATTAAATTTTTAATTGGGCGCTTTAAAAAATCTAACGATACTTCAAAATAAAAAAATTTTCAACAAAAATTTTTATCTCAGGACATTTATCTACATAAAACGAATAAAAATACAAAAAATTAGAACTTAATAAATTATACTTTTTGAGGTATCTTTGCCAAGATTTTAGCCTGTTTTTGACCTAAAAATACCTGTTTTTTCCCTTAATATATATACATAAAAAAAAAAATTATAAGTTTTCTAATGTATTTATCATGTTTGAAGTAAAAAAATCTATTGAAATATTGTAAAATACAAAAATTTTTTTTTTATAACTTCATTAAAAATGCAATTATTTTTATAAGTCTTTGTTTAAATCATGAAAAATGCTATAAAAGATACAATACGATAAAAAACAGATACACAAAATTACATGTGCATAAAGAATACATACTTTTTAAATAAAAAATAAGAATATACCAATAAAAACTAGAATTTATAATAAACTTTTAAAATTTTGATAATTTAATATATATTTAAAACATTTATTTTTGTAAACAAATAATATATATTCTTAAAACAATTTATGCTAGAAATCTCAAAACGTATTAAATCGTGAATAATACAATTTCTAAAACATTTCAACAGAATACTCTAAAACTTTATTTTGCTTAGTCAGCGTATTTTTGGAACCAATAGAATTAGTTTGTTCATTAATTTGGCGGGTTTTTAGTGTTAGCGAATATTCTTTTTATTCTTTCGTACCAAGATGTTTTAAGAACATTAAAGTTTTTTATGTTTCCATATATGTCCGTTTAACAAAAAAATTTTGTTTCGTACATAAACTTAAATGTTCTCAAAACGACTAAAAAACTTGGCCAGTTTTTTGCAACTAAATATAATTTCCGCGGTCATTATTCAAGAGCGATTGCTCCCGCTTTCTGACCAAGCCTGCACCATATAAAATTACATAAATAGTTAGAAAATAAAAAATTGTTAATAATAATAGCAAAAAAATAAAAAATAAATAGTACTAATTGACAAAAAAAATGTAAATAAATAAAAAAAGGATAATTTTTTAAATTATGGTTTTTTTAGAGGCAGGGGGGGGGGATTTCACTAAAATGATGACTGACTTACGAATAAAAATAACATGTTTTTTTTATTATATAGACTAAGCGAAACCTTTTTAAATAAAGTAACGACTTTCAACAATTTTTTAATAAATACGCACATTTAAAAGATAACAACAAAAAGAAATGTTTACAATTCTTCGTAGTAATGTAAACAAAAGAAAAATAATTAAATTGTTTCTTTTGTCAGAAATTCATGTCAGTAAGCAAATGAGTAAAAATGAAAAATAATGAACAAAACTATTTCTTTAATTGATAATTTAATTTAATTTGTTTATAATTTAATTTGTTAACTTTAGTTGATCATTTTTTTAGACTAAAGAAAAATTTATATATATATATATATATATATATATATATATATATATATATATATATATATATATATATATATATATATATATATATATATATATATATATTAACTTACATTCTTGCAAAAAAAAATTTGTTATATTTCAAGTATGTCAACTTTAAATAATAGTTTTTTTATTTAAAGACTAAATAAAAATACATTATTACTTTATGTAAAAAATCATTAGCAGTGAATTGTTACTTTATTTAAAATTGTTTTAATAATATAAAAACATTAGTAAAGTTATTTAATTCAAACAGCTGTCTTAAATTCAAAAGTTTGTCTTTTTTTCTTCTCAAAAAATTTTTTTCGAGTGTAATAACTTGAATGATTCTTAAATAAAGTTTATTAAAGAGACGATTGTTGTTTAAAGTTGTTGCTTATAAAATTTAAATAATTAAAAAATAATATGAATTATAAAAAAATCTTGTATATTATTTTATTTATTAGTTATATAATGTTAT